GGTTTTCAGAGGCCTGCTATTTCAGAAGTGGATGGCCAGTCCTTCTTCCTAGTCTGTCTTAATCTGAATGTTCAGATTTAGAGAAGTATCAGACAGACCAGCGTTTTACAGAAAAGTAAAAGATATATCCCTTACTGTGTAGTTCCTTTGAAGTAGTGAGCAGTTAGCTTTAACCTTCTTCAGTTGCTTGACCATTGTGAATAGACTGATTTTCTGCAGAGTATCCCATTAGCTCCTACAGGACATCTGTTAGCAGCACCCAGACAGCCCTCCTTGCCCCGCAGCTGAGGGCCTCTGTTCGAAGCCTACCAGATGTGGCCGTGGGCCCTGCATTGGCCACCCAGCTGCAGAGATTGCTGCCTGCAGCTCCATTTGACCCACTAAATTGTGCTGAAATGAACTTCCTCTGTGCAATCATCTTTCTTGGAGGAAAAAAGTCATTCATGTTCTTCTTAAAGAGCTCCTGGGTGGTGCAAACAGGTATTCTCTCAGCTGATAACCAAAAGGTTGGAAGTTCAGATCCATCCCGTGGTGCCTCAGAAGACAGGTTTAACGTTGAGTTCAGAAATACCAGTCATTGTGAACTCCATAGTGCATCATTCTGCTGAGACATACATGGGGTCACTGTCAGAAGGGGTCACCTCAGTGATGGCCCATTGCAAAGCTTGTTGGGCAATGGAAAAAAAAGCAGAGATGAGAGTGGAAGCTTCCAGAGCGGCCCTGTGAGGGTAACCTGGCAGGCTCATAGGACGCAGTACATAGGGCTCTCTTTGCCTTCCAGAACATTCAGCTAGTGGCGGATGGCTGCTGTAACCTCCAGAAGCAAATCCAGATCGCCCAGCTCTTTGGGGTTCCTGTCGTGGTGGCTCTGAACGTCTTCAAGTAAGTCCAACCTCCCGCTTTAATGTTGGTCCTGTTGCCAGGCTTCCCTGGGAACTTGGTTTTGTGTCCAGGGGCTTCTGGTGTCTGTGCTTCAGGGTCAGGTGCATGGAAAATGTGGCTTTCTCTCTTCTAGCAGAAGAGTTCTTAGGGAAATGAAGTTTCTAAGAGGCAGTTACCATTTCCTTGAGTTTTGGGGATATTTTTTCCACTACCATTTCTGTCTTAAGACAGTGGGTGATCAAAGATGTGTCATGGAATTGTCCCATTGAACCTTTAACAACGTAAAATATTTGTGTTGTTCCCTAAAAATTCCGTCCCCCTCTACCATGCTTTTCTTTAAATGTGATTGATTAAAATATAGTGTAACCACTTTTGATGTTGAAAATATACTCAGTGTCTGGCAACGAGGATCTACACAGTCTTTCCTGAAACACGCCTCTAAATGAAAACAGATGTAAAAGCACGAGTGTTTCCATCTCTAGGACGGACACCCGCGCGGAGATCGACCTGGTGTGTGAGCTGGCCAAGCGGGCGGGCGCCTTTGACGCCGTCCCCTGCTACCACTGGTCGGTTGGTGGGAAGGGCTCGGTGGACCTGGCTCGAGCCGTGAGAGAAGCCGCAAATAAGAGAAGTCGTTTCCAGTTCCTGTACGACGTCCAGGTAAGACACCACCTCCAGGGTGGCAGTGCTGAAGATGATGAGGATGTCTGGCACGTCCTGAACCCTAGCCATGTCCCACGTCACTGTTGTCACAACAACCCGAGCCTGTGGTAGTCCTTCCCGCCTTTGCTGCCTCCACAAGGCAGTAATGTCACCTTGCTCTTGAGGCTCCCACTGAGGAAGATGTGTCCTGTCTGTGGGCACTTCACATGTATTAACTTCTTTAATCCTAACATGAGTAGTTGCTGATCTGTCCCACAATCAACACTTGGCCTGGTTTTCACAGCTGATATTGAGTTTCTCCAGGGAGTCTTTCCACAAATGTAATCAATTTGATTCCTATGCCTACCATCAGGTGAAATCCATGTGTATAGCCTGCGTTGATGTTTCTTATAAAAGGTATTTGCAATGAATAAATCTTAGAATGTGCAGAATTCTACCATTCTGTCTCCAGCCTCATTTCTTTCACCAAGTCCGTGTTTTCCAGCTACTGATCCTTCTTCTCTGTTCCCAACTTTTGAGTTCCAGTCGCCCATTACTATCAATGCATCTTAATTGCTTGTTTGATCAACTTCTGACTGCAAAAGTTGGTATAAATCTTCTATTTCCTCCTTTTTGGCTCTAGTTTTTGGTGCATATATTTGAACAATAGTGGTATTCACTGGACTTCCTTGTATGCATATAGATAGTATCCTGTCACTCACCACATTGAATTTTATGATGGATCTAGAAATGACTGTTTTAAATATGAAACCAACCCCATTTTTCTCACCTTTTCATCCCTGGCATAGTAGATCAATATGATCGTATGATTCAAAATGTCCCATGCCAAGCCATCTCATCTTGCCAATATCTAGTGTGTAAATACTCATGCGTTCCACTTCTTTCTTAACCATGTCCAATTTTCCTACATTCATGCTTCTCCCATTCCATGTTCCAATCACTACTGTCTGCTTACAACTGTTCCTCCTTTGTGTTTCCATTTCTAAGATCTCGGTCTCAATTGCTGTGTCTGCTAGTCTAAGTGCTAGTCTAAGGTGTGCTCTATGTACATACGGTTTTTGAAGGCCTGTAATTTTGCAAGTGAATGGCCAATAATTCTAACATCTCTGCTGGATGGAACTGATGATGTTATCCTTCTGTTTCCCAGATTAGACAAGTAAGGAAGGAAAGTTAAGATGATGTTGCTGTTGTTGTTACATGTCGTTGAGTGGAGTATGATGCATAGTAACCCAATAAACAACAGATCTGAACCCTGTTCTATCCTGCGCCATCCTCGTCATTTCTGACATACTTGTGCCCACACCGCAGTCACTGTGTCAGCCCACCTGGTTGAGCGTCTTCCTCTCTTCACTGTCTCTCCACTTTCTCAAGCACGATGTCCTTCTCTGAGGAACAGCTTCTCCTAGCAACATGCCCAAAGTGTGTGAAATGAAGCTTTATCATCTTTGCCTCCAGGGAGCACTCTGGCTGCACCTTCTCCGTGACTCACCTGTTTCTTCTTTTGGCAGTTGAAGAAAGAAAGAGGTAACTAAAGCCTTTGTCAAGGACGGGTGCCAAGGGCAAGACTTCAGCTCTTTGTCCCCAAAGCTGTGTTCTTGGTGGCTCACTTCTGTCTCAGACCATCAAGAGGAGACTCGATAGAGAACAAGGGTCACTGTCAGATGCAGTCAAGTCAGCTGCCACTCATAGCAGCTTTATGTCCAGCTGAACAAACACTCCCTGGTCCTTCACTGATGTCACAGTCTGGTTAAGGTTGAGCCTGTTGTTGCAGCCACCAAGTCCGTCTCAGGGAGCTCTAGTGGCAAGAAGCTGCACTGATATCCTGAAGCCTGGCAGTTCGAGGCCACCAGCTGCTCTGTGGGAGAAGGATGGGCAGTGTCTTCCCATGTGATTAACTGTCTCTGAAAACCCACCGGAGAGTCAGCTCTGGGTCGGTTTTGACTCTACGGTATACAACAGAAAAACAAGTCCGTCTCCTTGAGGGTCTCTCTGTATTTTGCTAATCCTTTATATGACATGGTGTCCTCCAAAGTTCTGGCCCCTTACTGATAACTCACCCGAGAGAAATGAGACTCACTTCTAAGGAGCATTCTGGCTGAACTCTTTTCAAGACTTGTGTTTGTTCTTCTGGCGGTTCGTAATATATTCCGTTTTCTTTACCAGTCAGTCATTCGAGCACATTAATTCTTTTTTCCTTGTCCATCTCAGCTATCTTTCTCAAACATAGGAAGGGTGGGGTGAGGCTTCAACAAGAACCTCCGCTCTTCCTGATACCTCACCTTCTCGGACTCTTTTCCTGCTTCCACACGGACTCTCTCCATCCTGATGTTTTTGGCTCTTGCTCTGGGTGGTGGACTTGTCCTCTAAGAGATTCTGTGACCCTAGATCCCCAGCCTCTGTATAGAAAGCTTCCACTCCCCATCCTGTGTCCCTCCCGGTTATATCAGTCTGTCACTGGCATCATGGCTGATGCTGATGTCATGGGTCCCTCAGCTTTCCCATCCAGACTGGATCCTTCCGCAGCAGCATCTCCTGTGAGCCCTGGACTCTGTCAGCATCATCACGATGTTATCTTAACCGTGCAGTTGAGGCTGATAGAGGGGAACCTGGCTATTGAGGCTCCTACTGTTGGGGGGCTATTGGATACCGCGGCATGACTATTTACTTTGCAGATATTCACTTATTTAGTCTTCACATCCGCATTGAGCAAGACTCTTACTAGTCTCCCATTTTACAGGTAGGAAAGCTGAGGCTCGGAAACACTAACCTCTCCACTGAGAGAGCCTATGGAGTGGCAGGCCATTGTTCTGCTGTGTCCTTGAGCAGTGATTTCAAAAGCATGTTTGGCAGAAGAGAGAGGATAAGGCTCAAAGGGATAGGGACCCACTTGCACACTGAGAAGAAGGATGACAGGGATGGTGAGGGGTCCAGAATCCAGCCTGAACAACCTGTGCAAACATAGTAGTGCTTATAGAAGGAGGAGCTTAAAGAACAGATCGGACCCTTCAGCTTAGTAGAGCTAATAAAATGTTGAAAGGTTTTATGAGAGAAGGAGTAGAATGTTCTAGGTTGTCACAGAAGTAGGCAAAATCTGTAAGGACCTGTAATGGCAGGGCATGAGTATGGGAGTTGGGGAGGATAAAAGAGAGGTTAGATGCAACATAAGGATAAACGTTCAGATTCTAAGCTGTGTGTTTGCTGAAACTGGAGATGTTAGCGTCATAGATGATTGGCATATCAGACGACCACTAGCCACAGGGCGGCTGTGTCCCTGGGAGCCTGGCCAGCTCGGTGTCCTCACTATCCACTCCCGCCCATGAACTGTCCTCCACATCTCACACTCTGACCCATTGCTCTAACCATTTTGACAAAAATGGGCTTTTTGTCTCTTTGGGAGCTGGTTTTTAATGACTGATTTCACAGAATGCAGTTGTTTTCAGGGAAACCAGCGGGGTGTAAAGAACTGTAAGCAGAAGAAATGCTGTATGTGAGGTTGCCTCAGACAGGGAGGAATCCCAGTTGAAGCCTCTTCCTTTCCAGTGATAGTGTAATTCTTTTTTCCCCCACAAGTCTCATTCTTCATGGAGATAATGCTATTAAACTGTCTACTCTACTGTGAATGGAGCACAGTTTATACTAATGTCTTCTACAGTCCTGTATTGGGTAGAGGCCTGGATTGGATAGGGCCCTAATGGCCAGGATTCCTTCCTCTTGGCCAGCACACTCTTCTCCTTTCTACCCCACAGATTAAACCTGAGCTGCTACGTGATTGATGTTGTTTAGTTAGCCTTTCTCCGCTGCCTCGTGAGCACAACAGTTTATGAGAGACCAGTGAGTGGGGCTTCTGGCTCGCTTCTCACTTCATCATCCTGGCTCTGGTGACCTAGTGGGTAGAGAGTCTCATTGCCAATCCAAAAAAGTGGCGCCTCTGGTGGTTCGAATCCACCAGCTGCTTGACAGGAGAAAAATGGGCAGTCTCCTGTTACGCAGTTTACACCCTCTGAAAACTCTCTGGAGGGTCAGCTAGGAGTCGCCCCTGACTTTGCAACAATAGGAGAGAGTCATTAGCAAGAACTTCTTAGAGCCATTTTCAGCCTTGTTTTTTAAACGCACAGGTACATTTTACTTTACTGCACTTTATGGGTGTGTGTGGGTGTGTGTGTGTGTGTCTGTTTCTGTGTCGTTTTTTAGTTGTCATTGTTTGGGGGATTTTTTTTTTTAATTGAAGGTTTATGTAGCAAAACTGTCTTTGGGGGCCTTTCCAGCCACATGCTTACTTCATGTCTTCATGTCACATTTTGGTGATTCTCACACTTTTTTTCTATTTTAAAATTTACTAATGATTGGGGTTTTTCATACCAGTCCCCAAAAGATAACTTTGCTGTGACACTGCTGTTAAAAAACCTTAGGAGAGGTTTACACACAGGCAATCTTGGATGCTTGCTAGGGATGAGAAGGAGGGATAAAAAGGAATCAATAGATAAATATGGTAAAGGGAAAGATAGTGAAGGGTTAGTTGTTGTTATGTGCTATCGAGTCGTCTGTGACTCATAGCGACCCCATGTACAATAGCCCAAACAGGCCTAAAGCTCTATCTTGTACCAATCCTGTCTCCAACATACCTATTCCCATTACTCCAGTCACTGACTCAATCCACCTCATCAAGGGTCTTCCTCTCCTGCACTGTCCCTCTGCCCTCCCAAGCATTATGTCCCTCTTCAAGGACTGATCCCACCTTGCAACACGTCCAAAATATGTCAGACAAAGCTTCAGAATCCTTGCCTCCAAGGAGCAGCCTGTCTTCACCCTCTCCAGGACAAACTTGTTTCTTCTCCTAGCAGTCCATGGTATATTCCATACTCTTCTCCAGCACCACAGGTCAAAGGCATCAATTCTATCATCCCTAGTCATTGTCTAGCCTTCCAGTGTATAGCAAGTAATTGTAAAGACCATGGCCTATATCAAGTGCACCATAGTCTCCACACTGATATCATTGC